TGTTATATCTCTGTAATCTGAACGTGGTATTAAGCTGGCTTTCTTCAAATCAGTTGCTAACTAATAAAAACCAAAGATTTAAGTAAACTAAAGGAGACAAATCTATACAACTCTCTAATAAGGAAAATCCCAAAGGCTCGGTAGCCATCATAATGAAGTAATGTGTGGTTTTTATTAGTTAGGTAGGTTTCGATTCAACACATTGTAGTTTCATTTTTATACATGTGATCTTGACTTTTATACCTAAGGGATGAGTACTTAAGTGGGCTAGATTTTGATAAGTTCTTTAGTGAGAATGACACTGATGAAGACTGCACATTGTAGTCGAAATACGTATCTGTCATGGATACCAAAATTAATTAAGTGGAATTAAATGGAAAACCTTTTTTGCTGTTTTATTTAAGCATTCCGCTAACAACCCAATTTCATTACTTCATTTCATTACAAATTTTGAATGAACTTATTCAGCGAGTTCGAAATTCGCATTCGCTTTCCAAGTAGACAAGGATCGTTATATGAAAGAAGCTCTCGATGCCGACAAAGCGAAATTGTTGAAACGCCAGAGAGAAGCTAAAGCGAAACATCTCGAGAATAAGCGAAGAAAGTTATTGGAAGATGCTCAAAAAAAAGCCGAGAGTTTGCTCGTTGTAATGTGAACTCATTGAGAGAATAAATGTTAATGATAATTAAACTTAAATTATTTTGCGATGTCTCCGGTTGTCATATGAAGGTCCAGAGAGTACGAAAACTTACTGACTTATGTATGAGCAGTGCATCCTCAGGTTCGGTTGTCAAAGCAAGAATAATCACTGCTCTGTTATTTTACAATAATTTATATGTAAAAAGAAAGGATCGTCTGTTGATTTGTTTGATTGATTGATTTTTATGGATGGGTTGATTTTTATTTGGCTGTGAAATTATGAACACAAATGGAGACCTTGGTAACATTGATTAAATATTCCTATTATTGCTTAGTAATGAATAGTGAGCCTAGTTGTGAGCAGTAGTTATTCATTATTATATTATAATATGTATTTATAACGGGTACACGACGTTAGGCATACGGTCGTTGGGCATACGGACGTTAGGCATAATGTACGATAGGCATAATGGACGTTAGGCATAATCTACCCGATGAATTCCAGAAGCATGATCATGGGGACCGTCTATTGATTGTTGACATCGGTGGCAATAATGAAAGAGCCTTAATTTTTGGGACTCATGAAAACTTGCGATGTTTGTATGACTTGTATCATATTTTATTCAACGCTTAACCTAATTTACCATGCTCGAAACTGGTTTCTAGAGCAGCAATGTATTTTATGCCTAACGTCCAATATGCCTAATGACTTTATGATTAACGTCCATTATGCCTAACGTCCGTATGCCTAACGTCCGTATGCCTAAAGTCCGTATGCCTAACGTCCGTATGCCTAACGTCCGTATGCCTAACGTATTTATGCCTAATGGGGTACACTCATTATTTATAACCCTAGGTCACCCTTCGTAGGTAGTCGGTCATACATATGTTCTGTAAAAATTGTATTAGTATCATGTTGTGCGTGCCATGAGTATGCTATTCTTGATATTTTCGAAAGCTTACTCTGCTGCTCGTTTTATACTAACCAATATTTTGGACTGCGGTATAACAAAGCACATCACGTTGTAGCTTCTTAGGTTAAAATATCGGAGTTTTGTGGACTGGAATTTTTCTGAAAATCCACTGGAAGGTCAGGGAAAGTCAGTGATTTTTTTTTTCGACTTTGAGTCGACACCCTGGGTTAGATCTCTATACATTTCGTAAACTCGCAAAAGCAGCCCTAGCCTTATTCATTCGTGCACCAATGTCACTTTTGGCCCCGCCATCTGACGTCACCTGGCTGCCAAGAGCTCATTGAAGAATGGTAGTAAAAATCAAAGGAAATTTTTGTCGTATTCACTACAACTTAAAAAAGTGCCATCTTTTGGAATTAACACTAAGTGCCATCTGTTGGAATAGCAACAAACATTTGCTTTGGATCAACCTTCACCGATTTGCATGAAACGTTGCATAATTGCATAGTTATGGGCACATTTGAGCTAAAATTTGATTTTTTTTTTTCAAAATGGCGTGAAATAACGCCTGAGACAATGTTGTAGAGTAAATGAAGCCTTTCTTGAAAACAGATACAAAGGTATTTTTTTTTTGTAATTTTTGTAAAACACCAACTTTAGGTCAAATTTTTGAACTTCTTGTTAATACGTTTTTGGTGTAATTTTTGCACAGAAAACGATTAAAATGTATAAAAATTACATAAAAATGCTTACTAGTAAAGCATTCAAACATTTTATTAAACATGTATGTTCTTCGAATTCGGTAAATTTTCAAGTGTTCATAGTTTTCAATATTTTAATAGTTTGCATTTTTAAGAAATTATTTTAAAAATATATGTTAATATTGATCAAGCACGTTATGAGATATTAAAGTTATGAACACTTTTGTGGAATTTATACTCAAATGCAGTGCTGCAAAATCTCGATAATACACGGTGATATTCACAATTCTGCTTTGGTCACTCATTTGAGCTAACAGTCATCGTCAAGGCAAACCATGTCAATTGTCAGTGACAATGCTGTCAGTGACGAACATGTGTAAATATTTTTATTAACTAAATTTGTAACGAAATTAAATGACTTCTACGTCCTGAACTGTGTTTAAGCCAGGGCTGCCAGAACTTGGAACAACATGGTAACCGCTTCCAAGCATTAGTAGAAATTGATTATATATGTCCGTCGGCGGCAGAAGTTGAAGAATATTTAATCCATTCCCAAAAAAGCAAGAAGTGTTATATTAGTAATTAAATTGAACTGCTATGAACTACAGTCACGAATGACGTTTAAAGTGTTAAAGTGACTATAAAAAATGACTTGAGCAAAACAATAACATGGAGCCGTTAAAGTGAACAAGTATCTACGTCTTGAACTGCTTGGATAACAATCATGTAACACAGAATGCACGAAATTACAGTTTTTGCTACCAAGTGAAGCTTTGTCATTGACGAACAAATGAATGAGATTTTAACGAAGGTTTTTTGAGGATCAAGTCTGTCAGTGACTATGTGATACATTTTTTTTGTCAATATCGCTCAAAAGTCTGTCAATGATAATAGCACATCTCAGCACTACTCAAATGTACTAAAAAAATCCGTGTATATTTTTCTTTATTTATTTATTTTTCTCCACAACTTTTTCTAAGACGTCATTTCGATCAGAAGGGAAGTTTTCGTGCTATAATTTATTGAAAAATGTCTAATACGTTTGATAAAAAATACAAGAACCAACATGGCTGAGTTTTAGCACAAATGCGAATGATTGAAAGTTTCATGCAAGTCGAAGAAAGTCTGATCGATTCGTCATTTGGTGTGGAACTGATCCATGTCCTATTGGGATGTTTCGTATCGTTTGAAGAGTTCTGGGACCTCTCCAAAGGCGTACCCTCTCATCAATCAAAACAGGCCTCACAAGAATCCTCATTCTATTGTGATGTTCCTTATCATTCGACAGGTTTTGAGACCTCTCCTAATACGCACCTTCTCGTCAATCAAAATAGGTGTCCATAGTGACAAAAACAAGCGATGTTACTGAATTTGACCATGCCGCAGAACCCTGGTACTAAAATTTTCTTGTTTTCAATCTCAGTTCCTCAGAGAATTTCATAACCGAGGGTTCATATCCGTCAACAAGAAGAGCTTAGAGTCAATGTTCGATGTGGTAGACATCATATCTGAAACACTACTTGTCGTGCTTTCAGGAAGAGAGTTTATCTTAAGTTTTGAAAATATCCTGTTAAAATCGAGATTCGACCGAAAATATATGAGTGCGCAAGCATTTGAATCTGCCCAAATTATGGTACCTGCACGGTATTCCTTAACAATTATTCATCACAATCTAGGAGACACTTTGAATAAAGTGCTCACAATGGCAAGGAAATCAGAAAAAAATCTAGTTGCACAGTCTGTTCTAGTGGTCATACCTATATCAATATCTAATTAAAACATTGGAATATTACTAAGACTTCAACTAACAAACAGAAATTGTGCTTATAATCTCCTGCGCTAGATTAGTTTTCGATAGCGAGATACCAGTAGAGAGAGCACTCAACAGTAAGAGAGTGAAAATGAGAGCATAAAAAAGGTCGCGTGCAGCTCGTTGTAGAGCACAACAGTTACAAAATTTAACGTAAACAACGTTTAAACTATCCAAGTAACTACGATGCCCGTTAATAACCCGATAAGGTCCCTTTTTGCAATATAAGGCTAATGTAGGGCTTCCAAGTTTTATATCAACCGTATATCAGCTTTATGTTGCAAAAAAAAATCTTTTATCGGGCTTGTTCGTTGTGTAGTTTTACCTATTTTTCCTTACCTTGATAAGATGTTTCATTCCTGGTCAGGCATGGAAAATCATTTACATTCATTTCGTGCATTCATTTACATTCATTTGCCTCTAACTTTTTTCTTCAACAGCATTCCGCAAAATAATGTGTAGAGCTTTTGTAGGTTTTGTTATTAGCTACAACTTTTGTTAACAAGTCAAATCCGTATCTCTTATGCATGACGAAGCAGAGCGAACAGAAGCCACTACTGTTTTTCAGTGAATGTATTTTACATTCACTGAAAAACAGTAACAACTTCTGCCCGCTCTAGTTCGTGATGCTTAAGAGATACAGATTTGAGTTATGAGCAAAACTTGTAGCTAATAACAAAACCTACAAAAGCTCTATACAGTTAAAGGCAAATGAATGTAAATGAATGTAAGAAATGAATGCAAATGATTTTCCATGCCTGTTCCTGGTTGCAATTCATTCAAACTTTCAAAACTTTTGAAATTCCATCCAATTTTTTAACGCATTTACATGCTTAAACCTCGGTACCGATCACTCACACAATAGATATTTTAGTCGTCTATTCAATCGCATAATAATAAAAATCACTTTTAATAAATCTGTTACATCTTCACAGGCGTCGGCAACATCGTTTGGAGCAGGAGCAGGCTGATCTGGAATACGAAATCCGCCTATTGATGGCACAACCAGAACGGAACAAAACCGATTCCGATAAGGAAAAGGAAGAAGCCCTTATTGCGAGGCTGGTTGAGGTATGAACTAAATATGGCATGAGCACCACATTGTGCGGCTGCCTCAAACTAAACTGTGATCATTTCTCCACCACAGATCGTTCAAATGCGAAATGAGGTGGTAGATTGCCTGGAGATGGACCGTTTACGAGAGGCGGAAGAGGATATGGTAAGCTGACTTGATTTGTCCTATAAATGATTTTACTGATTGTGATTGAATAATTTATCAACCTGTTTAGAGTATCAAACAGAGCATCGAAGAACGAGCAGCCAGCCAGCAGAAGCACAGCAAAAAAGATTCCGATACAGAAAAGTCTACGAGTGGCGATTCGTTCGTGAAACTTTCGAAAAAGGAAAAGAAGAAGCTCAAAGAGGCGAAGAAGCTGGTAAAATCGAAGAAAATCGATTCGGAAAAGGTACAGTATACGATTCTCGACATTACACATATATTGAAAGCTCATTCGGGTGAACATGATCTTTTCATGTAATTTTCCAGGATGCTGACGAGACCGAAAGCAGCACCAAAGAGAAAAAGAAGAAGAAGAAATTCTTTTCCGACTTTCTGCACCCTAAATGAGCCCGCTGACTACGTTAACATAGTCCATCCGGAGTATATTTTATGTACCATCTTATGATTAAATTATATGTTTGTTCACACTACTCAGAGTTAATCCATCAAGCGGATTTTTTATTAGCTTTGTTCAGAATTATGAATTCTGATCTAGTTGAGAAAAACAAACTTAGAAAACATCATCAACCTTGCTTTAACAATCAAACAATCGTACATTCCAGTTACTGTTGAGTTTCTTCAATGTTCTAGAAGAAAATGGAAAAGAAGTAGTTAATTAGCTGTTTAATCATATCATCATTTTTCTATCTTACATGTCATATTGTATTAACAATGTTTAAGTTTTTGTGTCTTGTGATCGTTTCATTTGTCATTTCAGAAAGCATTTATATAGATAAACGATACACCGTGTGAAAAGACGTGTCCTAGTTTGGTTAAGTTTTGTCTTACGCTTTTTATCGTTTATGATATGGAAGTTTTTTTTTTTCTGTGCGATATGTGAATATAGTAACAATAAAATGGTACACTTGTAGAAAGCTTAACTGTATCGCATTTCAATTTAAATCGAAAGAAAATATTTTTTTACTGGCTTCGCTGTGTCAGATTATCAATCTTGTTCGATGATTTGGGGACAGGGCAAAGTGGAAAAAACTTTATTGTCGATTCATAAATTAGATTACTTTTTTAAAGAAGATTGGGCTCATCGCTAAAAATCGGTTATTTATCAATTTTATCTAGATGAACGCGTCATTGGGACGGTATTAATGGATATTTTTTGTCGCTATTGAAAATTTAGTCGATTGCTAAATTTATGCATGGGCCCAAATTAGGGGCATTAAGGCCGACATTACATCCATTTCCCTTATGCTTTCATAGGGCCCTATAGTGTAAGTCGAGTCAAGCGTCACTTCTGGTAACTGGTCTTCTAATTTGGTATTACTTCTATAATACCAAAATAGACCGGTGACCAGAGGTGACGCTCGGCTCTACTTAAAGGGTGTCCACGATGAAATTGCCACACTATGAAATTGCTCTAACTTTTTAACCGTTGGGTAGAATTTAATGAAAATTTGGGTGGATTTAGTTCATAGTGCATTATTTACATCCTGCAAGTTTTAAAGTCCTGTGATCAAAACTCGCGGAAATGGAGTCGAAAGAACAGCTCGTGCGTGATAAAATCTTGCGCATTCATCACGAGAACAAGGATCTCTCGCATCTTTCCATCGCTAAAACGTTGGGAATCGCGAATTCCACGGTGTCGCGAGTGATTACGCGGTTCGAGGAACGGTTGACCACCGATCGGAAGCCCAGAAGTGAAGGAAAAAGTATTCCGTACAACACCAAAAATCACAACCGCGTAGTTGGGGCCTTCAACCGAAATCCGAACGCCTCCGTTAGGGATGTGGCTAAGAAGCTGCACCTAAGCCGAAGTTTTGTCCAGAAGGCCAAAACTAAGGCTGGGCTTCGAACGTTCAAGGTACAAAAGGCCCCTAATCGCGACGAGAAGCAGAACAAGTCCGCCAAAACCCGTGCCAGGAAGTTGTACCTCAACATGCTGACGAAAGTTGAATGCTGCATCATGGACGACGAAACATATGTGAAGGCCGACTTCAAACAGATCCCCGGCAACCTGTTTTTCACGGCCAAGGATAAGTTCAGCGTTCCGGAGCATGTCCGCACTCAGAAGATGTCCAAATTTGCGAAGAAATTCCTGGTTTGGCAAGCCATCTGCACGTGCGGGAAGCGGAGTGCACCTTTCGTGACCCAGGACACGATGAACGGACAGGTGTACATAAAATAGTGCCTCCAGAAGCGGCTGCTTCCTCTCCTGAAGGCCCACAACGTCCCAACAATCTTCTGGCCGGATTTGGCCTCATGCCACTACTCCAAGGACGTGCTGAAGTGGTATGCGGACAATAAGGTCAATTTCGTGCCGAAAATGTTCAACCCTCCCAACACTCCGGAGCTCCGCCCCATCGAGAAGTACTGGGTGATTATGAAGCAGCACCTTCTTAAACGACCTAAGGTAGTGAAGACAGTCGAGGAACTGAAGAAAGTATGGGTTTACATGCAAAAAACGGTTGATTCACAGGTTGTGCAGAATCTTATGGCCGGGGTTAAGGCCAAGGTGCGGGCATTTGCGTATGGACTGTAAATAAAATACGAGTAAAATGGTAAAATTAAGTTTAATAGTTATTTCTCAATTCCTGAAAATTTGATGGCAATCGGATGAAAACTCGAATTTTGCGAATCAATTTTGTGTGTGAAAATTTCATCGTGGACACCCTTTACATAATAGGGCCCACAACCAACTAAACTAGCTATATGTATATGGAACAAGTTGCAAAAAGAAGATTTTTCAACACGTGTCGTAGTTTATCCACCGACACTTGCATACCACATTTTTTGGCACTCAGTGCTGAAAAGAGTAAGTTTTCGGCCCTGTTTTAAATAACATAATGGTCTACTTTTTCTAACTTAAATAACAGTATCGAAAAGTACTACTTTTCAGCACCCAATGCCAAAAACATCTACTTTTCGACACTCTTTTGAGTGCAAAAAAAAAGTGATGTATGCTACTCGATGCAAAATTGGATTTTTCCAGCTATACTCGTGCTTATTTTTTTTTGCATAAGCATTTCAATAATCAGCTTTAAATGTTTGCTGGAAATTTGGAGGGGAACACAGTTGGATAAAATAAAAATAGTGGTGAATGATCGCTTTCCCTAACACAGATTTCAAAATCAAATTCCACCCGGGCTCGCCGAACATTTATGCCTAGCGCGTCACCGCAGAGCAGAAGGGAAACTTCGGATCAGAAAATGGCTCCACTTTTCATTGGAGAACACTAGCACACCTAGCGGTAGAAGGAATATTCTGCCTGCAGTTAAGATAGGCAGCATGCTATGATAGTGTGAGTGCGCATAGAAAGCTCGTGTGGGACGCTACCACAATGCATCACTGGTTGAGCGAAAAAACGTACCGCTTATTGATTCACCGATTTGTTTGCACTTCTGTTGTGTGGCGTCACTCTCGTTCCAAACAACATACAGCCTCATATGTGTTGAACACCCTAATAGCTCAGCATTACTCAACCATCACGATAAAACAGTGCTTTTCAGGACCATCATAAATTATTGTTGTTTAAGAGATAATCATTGACACCGTTCGTTCGCTTTGCTCCCAGCACATCACCACCAAGGGGCTCTTCATAAACTACGTAGACAGTTTAGGGTTGACAATTATCCACGGCCCATACACATTTAAAAAAAAATTGTATGGATAATTGTCTACGCAGGGGGAGGGGTGGGTCAAGAATCCCAAAAAACTGTCTACGTAGTCAACGAAGCGTTTCCTTGATGTAAAAAGTGGTTTCCCTAACACAGTCGCCGAGTATTGATACCGAGCACGTAATCCTATGTCAAAGCTACGGTCGTGTCTTGGATACAATCTCTTACTTTTTGTTCAATGTTTTACAAAGTTGTAAGTGCTTTATTTATTTTTTTTTTTTTGTTAATTACTTTATTTGTACAGGCTCATTCGAATAAACTTTACAGAGCCAAGTTATCATTTTCTTTATACATTATAAATGTCTTAAATCTAAAATTAAAGGATTGGAACCGATTACTCGCGGTCTTCTCGAGGTTAGTGGATGACAATTGTTTGGATCGGGAGAGGGAAAAGGAGATTTGGAATATGATTTATGATTCAAAAATTTCACTATTTCTAAAACAAATACTTAATCCTATCGACGTTATATCAACTCTGTAATTATACAATTATTACAGAAACAAATCTACAAAAAAAAATGCACACACACATACAAAACACAAACTAAACAAAAGGTTAATCAAACTTACAATCTATGGTTAATATTCTTCAAGAAAACATATATGAGTTTCATAAACTCCAGATCGCGTCTAGCCAAAATATCCCGAACTGGAACATTAGGTTGTCTACCTCGAGCCCGAAGGGAATCGTACAACTCGGATCTGACTCCACGGTGCTCAGCACATGACCAAATAATGTGATCAGCGTCCTGGTAACCTTGTCCACATTCACAGAGATTACTGTCCCCCAGCTCAACACGGAACAAGTGAGCGTTTAACGAGTAGTGATTGGACATGAGGCGAGACATCATACGAATGAAGTCTCGACCCACATCCAACCCCTTGAACCAAGGACACTTCGACACCTTAGGGATGATTGAATATAACCATCGTCCTAAACTCCCTTCACTCCATTTATTTTGCCAGCTGGCGAGGGACTGTTGACGATAAATGAAGAAAAATTCGTCGTAGGCGATTTGTCGATCGTAAATATCGCCTTCCATAGCGCCCACCTTTGCAAGCGAGTCCGCCTTCTCATTGCCCGCAATCGAGCAATGAGATGGAACCCATGCAAAGGTGATGACAAAAGATCTTAAAGATAAAGCACTTAGAATCTCTCGTATTTTCATGAGAAAATACGAGGAGTGCTTTACCGGCCTCATGGAACGAATAGCCTCGACAGAACTGAGACTATCCGTAAAAATAAAATAATGATCTGGTGCAAGTGAGGCGATCGTTTCTAGCGTACAATGTATTGCCGCCAGCTCAGCAACATATACGGAACAAGGTGCTTGAAGCATTCGAGAGGCGCTATGAAATTCGTTATAAATACCAAAACCAGCGGACGCCTCTATTAGTGATCCATCTGTGAAGAACGATCTTGCGGAATCAACTTGGCCAAACTTTGCAGCGTAAATTGACGGAGCAATCATGGAACGATGATGCTCTGGGATTCCGCGAATCTCTTGCGTCATTGATAAATCAAAATGAACAGAACTGTCGAAGTCGGAGAAGCAAACACGATAGGGATTATGCTGCGAAGGGCTGACATCCTGTGTTATGTACACGTAGTACAATGACATAAAACGAGTTTGAGGGTTTAGCTCAAGAAGCTTCTCAAAGTTTGCAATCACCAGTGGGTTCATAATTTCACAACGGGTGAGGAGCCTGAGGAACAATTCCGAAAACCGATCAGAGAGTGGCAACATGCCCGCTAACACTTCGAGACTCATCGTATGAGTCGAGTGCATGCATCCTAACGCGATACGAAGACAGCGATACTGGATCCGTTCCAGTTTGATGATGTGCGTTTTAGCCGCCGACTGGAAGCAAAAACTACCGTACTCTAAAACCGATAAAATCGTTGTCCGGTACAACGTTAGAAGATCTTGCGGATGGGCTCCCCACCACGTTCCGGTAATTGTTCGGAGAAAATTGATCCTTTGTTGGCATTTCCGCTTCAGATACTCAATGTGGGATCTCCAGGTGCATTTTGAATCGAACCAGACCCCAAGGTATTTGAAGGACATAGAATGAGTGATCGGTTTACCCAAAAGTTGAAGCTTTGGTTGTGCTGGGCTATGCTTCCTAGAAAAAACGACCAACTCAGTTTTCTCCGTGGAGAATTCGATACCTAGCTGGATAGCCCAAGTAGACAAATTGTCTAAGGTATCCTGTAAGGGTCCTTGCAGGTCGGCCTCTCTGGGTCCTGT